TTTTTTTTCCTGCTTTAAGAATGTAAACAAGGGAAATCGGGAATTTTAGCTTACGCAAATGTTCCCTGTTTCCATTTGTAAAAATTCCAATTAATATCTATTCACCTGCAAATATTTTTCAATTCATGCAATTTGCAACCGAGGCAAAGAGTTCTTGAAAAGGTGAAAAAAAAGAGATAAATTTGATGAGTCAACTTCTGCTCCTAAAGTAAATTTCATTTAGGTTACATATGCTTTTACTGAAACAAAAATAAAAATGCAGTGTCTGGAAATTCAGCTACTATAAAAATACACGCGGTGTTCATTTCCCGAGCTTCAGGGGAAACACTGGCAAAATACGCAGGTGCAAATGACGTTCAGCTGTGGCTATCCCCAGTCGATGAGAACTCGGCTTGGTCCATCATGCTGATGTCATTCATTTCGTTGCTTGCCATGTCAGCTGTTTTAGCCACATGTTTCTTTGTGAGGAGGAATAGGATTGGGAGAGAAAGGCCTCGATTTCCAAGGGTTCGTGAGTTCCATGGGTTAAGTAGTCGTTTGGTGCAAGCCATGCCGAGCTTGATATTTACCGCTGCTATAGAGGATAATTGCACTTCACAAACTTGCGCCATTTGTCTTGAGGACTATAGTGTTGGTGAAAGGCTCAGAATTTTACCGTGTTGTCACAGTAAGTTTTTTTTTTACATAACTCGCGAGGCCACTCGGTCAAGTGCACAAGCGCTCGGGTGAATTTCCGTACATTTTTTAACATTTTCTTGCTTTTTTTTTCCTCGATAGAGTTCCACGCTTCGTGTGTCGACACCTGGCTAACTTCATGGAGAACATTCTGTCCCGTCTGCAAACAGGACGTGAGAGCGACACCCGGCGGACCCCCAGCATCCGAATCCACACCTTTGCTATCCTCTGCCTCCTCATACTCGATCCTATCCTCGTCCTCAAGATCATCATTCGCGTCCACATCAGCACTACCGTACGACAGCCTGGCGCCGTCCAGCCAAGGCTCGGTTGACCTCAGTCAAAGGTCCGACCAAGCTTACTTTCTTTCGGTCAACTCGTTAGGACACGACTCGTCAAATCAGCCTCGTGGGTACCTGTCTCCTCCATATGTCCCGAGCGTGGGGTCCACGAGCCGCCAGCCAGGACATCTGGACTACTGCGAGTCAACTGGGAGCTTTTCACCATTTGCCTCGACTAACTCGCTTCCCGGATGCTGATAAAACGTGATGAAAGCTGATTTTGTATCTGTAGATGTTTGAATCTTGTATATTTTGTAGGGTTTGTAGCATGAGATTTCTGATAGGGGTGGGCAAAGGTACAATAACTACTAATTTATGTGTGCTGGCAATTTGTTAAGGAGTTTCTTGAGAAAATGAATGCAAGAGAATAAAACCTGTGTGTTTTGGAATGATTTTCTCAAGATTTTAGGTCTGAACATTGTAAAGTATAAACGTCTAAAACTAGAATAATATAAAAACCAATAATTAATACAATTTGGGTGAATGTTAAGTAAATTTTATACATAAATATAGAATAATAATTGAACACTATTTTAAAAATCTTCTAAGAAAGTAAACTTTCGTTGTTTTGAATTCGACAGGGGAGAAAATAACAACACGACGAGCAAATCACAGAGGTTTTGCAGCAGTAAAAGTTCGCGCAATGCTCGAATAACATCAATGGTGTTCTTATAATCAATCTCCTTAGACATCATGAAAACTGCACTCATCTATCCTCAATTTCTTGCCGGCTATCAGTTAACAATTTCGATTCCCGTTAGGGCCTTCACAGGTGTCCCTGCATGGAGCTGAAGTGCAACATCCCCAACAACCTGCAATCGAACATTTC